CCCTGACACTGGCACTGGGGAAACAATATACTCTTTTATGGCTGCAGAGATGCCTGTCTGTTCCCCTATCAGTTGAATTCTCTACCATTACAGCCCTGTTCATCTTCCTCCTCTCTTGTGCAGCAGACCCACCTGTGGTGCCATGATGTTGGCTGCTAATGCTTTCCCCTGCACAGTCATATCCCCAAACAATATCCAAAATGCTATATCTGTTGGAAAGGAAGATGGCCGCAGTGGTTTCTTGCACTACTCTGCCTCCCTCTACTCTTCCTGGTGGTCACCCATGCTCTGCCTGCATGTTCAATTTTCACCTGTGTTGTGACCACTTCATTGAATGTGCTATGCATGACATACTCGACCCTGCAGATGCTCTGCAGCGAATTCAACCATAGCTCCAGCTCCGAAGTGTGGTTTGCCAGTAGCTGCATCTAGACACATTTCCTGCACAGTATTCACCAGGGATAACTGAAGCCTCCATGATTTGCCACATTGTACACGAGGTATAAATGTTTTTACACATTTAAAAAGAATTAAGAATGTGAAAAGCCGAGATGTTACATTAGTTTAATTCATCACTTTTGAACACCAACTTTTCTAGATTCATCTGTGCTTTTATTTCATGTTAACATTTTGCAGCAAGAAAAATGGTCTTAAATCCAGGAAATGTGCAACCACTACTTGCATGGAGAAATGTTTCCTAATTTCACTCAAGGGAGTTAAAGGTCATGAGGAGAATGGGGCTGGCCAAAAAGCAAAATTTAGGCCACAATCAGTTTAACCATGATCTAACTGAATGGCAGAGAAGACTTGATGGGTTGAATGACCTTCACCTGTTCCTATTTCCTATAGTCTTATGGACTCCTGAAAATGTTTATCTTATGTCCCTAATCCTAGCCTTACTTACCAGGGAAATAAGGAGTAAAATTTAGTAAGCATTTGCAGGCTTTTAATAATGAGACAAGAAGTGAACATGGTTGGATAAGGGTGAAGATCCAGGAGCTGATAACAGGTTTTACAATGGGCTATTATGTGAAAGGAGTTACGCTGAGTCAATCAGGTCTGCTGAGAGCTAAGATTGCAGGAAATCAGCAACTGATGTCTCTATCAAATAACGACAAAACATTCAGGATTTATCACGTGCACAGATAATTCCAAATAAGGCACACACTTGGCACAGAGATCTGTGTATAAAGCAGCCTGGAAAACCTTTGATTTCAGCAGGACTCTGGACATTAACAACTGGGAAGAGTTACCCTACATAAGGAGACATGGTGAAGACATTGCAGAGTTGCAGACTGCCCAGCTGCCAACTCTCCCAGGTATAACGTTTGGGGTTGGTTACAGAACCAAGGGTATTGAAAGACAATGACTGAAATCTCTCTAGTAGTTAAATGCGTGTATGATTCATTTAAGTACTTAATAAATTAATTGAGTTTTATAGAGCTCTAAGTGTCTCTGCTATATCTTCGTCTATGTATACACTGTTGTCTCACAGAGACGAGCAACAGAATTTGGCATCCCTGAGTGGGCATCATTATGAAATAGCTTTAAGTTACTCCAACACTAGACCCAATAACCTCGAGTTTTCCAAAACCCTGCCTGAGCTCAATTAAAGAGGGCAACTGCCCCATATGGCAGCCAGGAGTAAGTGGGTGTAGGAAGGAGATAGAAATTTGGTGGAGAAAGACACAAAAAGAACAGGAGACACATTAGCACTAACAGAGAAAGATGGGTGCAGGGGACTCTGACTGGAGAGGATTTCTCCAACAGTACATAGCTGGGGAATGGTCCAATCCTGTGAGTACATTGATAAGATCGGTATGGGAATAGGAATGCATGGGGATACTCTCTGGGGTATGGCAAAGGATAGTATGCGAATAAGGGATTTTAAGAAAGTGGCAGCAGTAGGCTGTATGTTGGAAGACGAGGTGGAAAGCCAACAGTGAGAGATGAAGCTGCAAACAGCGGGACCAAACTTGAGAAAAGATAAGACACTGATGGAAAAGGTTGGGAATTTACAAAGACAGACAGATGTAGACCTCATGCAGATGAACCAGTATCAAATGCAGTGTGAGAAATTGATGACGGAAAAGAAAAGAGGAAACTATAATGGGCCAAGAGCAGAATAAGAGTCAAAGAAACAGTGTAGTGATTTGACCACAGCTATGAATGTAGTGCACAAGTCAGTGCAGGAGTGTAAGGTGTCCTTAGCGACCATACAAAGTGAAGTTGCAGAGTCAAATATCAGCACAAAGAGGGATAATATGTGCATTTGCGACCCCACCCTTAGAGGGGGAATGGGGGGAAAATGGTGAACGTTGACTGGGGAGGGCTAGCTGACAGACGAAGCGGCCAGATATGGAGAGGAGGACTCAGGGGAATGGGGTCCTCCTCTGGAGGGAGGGGCAGGAGAAAAGCCCACCGCCTCTATGATCCCCCCCCCAATCACGAGGAGGCAACACGCACCTCCCAACATTACATATACCACCCCTTATGATGTTCAACAGCTAAGAGATATAGCCAAGTGTATAGGGGATTGTCAGCCTGGGGATGACCACCAGGAGCTGTTCCAAACTACCCACAAGCAGCAAACTATACACAGGTTAGATAATGAGGAGGAGAAAAAACTAATACTGATGCTTTTCCATCCCACTATACGTTCAGCTTTGCCCGAGCCACAAAATGGGGGAGGGAGAGTATTAGATGAGTTAAAGGAGGCTGTCCTGATGGCCATGGGAGCTAAAAGAGGTGACTAGGCATGGACGAGGAGCCCCCAACTATGGTCACAGGGAGTGGTAGGACCCCAGAGGCTTATGGAAATGCTTTAATTGTGGTGAAGAAGGGCACCATGCCAGAGATTGTCTAAAGGATCGTGACCAATTAAATGCTGGCCCAAACCTTGCCACTAGAGGGACCCCAGCCTGCGTCACAGAACAATGTGCGACCAGTTGAGGCAACAGTCACAATGTGAATTTCAGGATTAAGGTTTTTGTTCAGTATTATAACCAGGAGCCAAACTGAAATGTACAAGAAGATACAACACACGTATTTGGTACTAATGGTGGACATTCGTTTACACATGATAAAACTTAGTTTAAGTGATATGACAATACTTGTTTTTTTACTTCCTATACAATAGTCATCTGTTTCGATAAAGGCAATGATATGCATTTCATACATTGATATTTCTTCTACAAAAGTATATGATATCCTATTACAATTAGCTTCACATTAGCAACAGCTATCTCCTTGTCCATTGCATAAACACAAACTCATTTCCCTCCATTCTAGAGATAGTAGGAACTGCAGATGCTGGAGAATCTGAGATAACAAGGTGTAGAGCTGGATGAACACATCAGGCCAAGCAGCATCAGAGGAGCAGGAAAGCTGACGTTTCGGGCCTAGACCCTTCTTCAGAAATGAATGTGGTTGTGAGTTTGGAAAGTGCTACCTAAGAAGTCTTCTTCATTTCTGAAGAAGGGTCTAGGCCTGAAACATCAGCCTTCC